ACATTTCATCAAAAAATATTAATTATTATTTAGTATTATTAATTCTGTTTACTATTTTTTCTTAAGTAAATTTTCATATGTAAAAATCGGGATATAACACTTTATGACTGATTAGTCCAACACATTAGTCATAAAGTGGTATAATGACACAATATTGAACTACACTACACAAATACACGTATCCCGAAAAATATCCCTATATCATATATAAAATATCCCGAAATATCCCGAAATTTAGAGCAATTTTTTACTTAAAATCCCGATTTTTCAAGTTTTGAGTTGGTCACTCTAATTAGACGTGTAAATAAAATAAGACTATGTTCATAACATTGCAGAATATATAACACTAAATAATGGTTATATTTGACACAATTATTAGTGACATATTAAACAAAAAACACATGAATTAAGTGACCAAGAACTTATTCCCATATTTCTCTATTACAATGACATAAATATCTATTTAAATTTTGCTACACTAAAATGTCTGTTATTATTCACTAGTAGCTATTAAAAAAAGTTTGCAATTAAATTAACTTGTATAGAAAATTTAAAAAAAACTCTAATTCATTGTACTTATTATTAGTTTAAAAATACTAAAATTCCATGTTTTAAGGAATAAATATTAATTTTATTTAAATTTATTTTTAGCCCAATTTGTCAACAAATATCTTTCGTTTGTTATTATATTTAAAATAATTCTTGAGTTTGGGTTTTGGTTGCGTTTCTTCGACCGGTTGTACAGTGCCTTCATTGGTGAGCACATCACTGGCCACGAGTCCGGGGCTGTACTGCACTGTAATACAGCCCAAACAGTCAACGAGTCTATTGCTCCTTATTTTAGTGATAATTGAGTCCAAATCCATGATTGATAGCAAGTTTTGAACGTCCAGATTGGCGATGATCTTCTCACTGGAACCAACCAATTGAGTCACACCGGGCTCTGACTGACAACTATATGGACTAAAGTTTGGCAGATCCAGGATCTCGAGGTATGCGTCGCCCAACAGCGCCAGCGGACCCTTAATCACAATACCAATAGCTATGCCGTAAAAACTTCCTAAAGAAAATATTTTGTAATCACAATAAATAATGGAAATTTTGTTTAATTTATAACAAATGTTACCTTCATTTCTGAATCCATTTGAATAGAGTATCCGTACGTGAGTTGCGTTGGGAGCGGTGTTTGAGCCGATATATACGCCAAACTCACTCAAGTCATCCTCGTATCGGTCAAAGAGGTCGATGGCATCGCACGAGTCCAGTGTCTGATACCGAGCCGTCTCTTCAATGCGGACAATATTGGCCGATAAGGGCTCGC